TAAAACCAACCTTTCCACCTGTTCTGTATCCTGAGAAAAACCACCGGTAGGGACCACATCAACAGGATTTTCTGTTGTAACTTTTTGCTGGACTTGTCACCTGGGAGGCACCAGTAAGCAGTGGTGGGCAGTGTGAATGAGGCTACAGGTTAAGGCTATAGGTACCACTGGGTGGCTCTCACTGGACAGCTGTGTTTCTGCTCTCAGTGACCTCTCTTCCTTCCTCTGCGTGGAAGAGTGGAGAGTGGGGGAAACCATCTCCCCATGTGCCACTAGTCCCTTCTCACTCCATGCTGATTAAATGCTGCCTATACCTTTGTAAGTATTTCTTTTGTTAGGCCTTTTGTGGAGTTTTTACTTTGAGTTTGCTGTTTCTTGCCAAGAATGCAGCCATTATACAAACTTCTACTTCTGTATCTTTAGAATACCTTACAAAGCTACCAAAGCCCTCATGTGAAAACTAGCAAATGAAATGTTTCCGTCTGAATTGATTTCTTTGTGAACATGGGTCACCTACTCCTTTTTAACATTCCCACCTGTACTCAGTAGATTCTGTGACAAAACTTTTAGTTTCCTCCTTCAATCACTGCTCTATAGACAGATTATTCTCAAAACCTCTTAGGTTAACCCTCAATCTTTCTATGGTTCTCTACCAGAGAGCCTACCTATGCTCACAACAAATGTATGACTACTATGTAAATGATTTCAATAGATCTTACTAATGCCAAACTCTCTTAAGTTGCATTGTCATATCCCTAGTTTTTGGTGTTATCTAAATGTCCATCTATTACAAACTTTTTATCAAACCATACAGGCTATTTTTCTCTAGCTTTCTAAGTCCTTTTCTATGTCCACTCTAATACCCAATTCATTCCTAAGTATTAAAATCATCCCTTCTTAAGTGGCTTTCATCTTTTTCTTCCTCTTTTACTAGTTACACCATTAAATCAATTCAGGACTAATCAAATTTGGCAATTGCATTTCTTCTGAACTGGCATTTTCCACAGTAATATGCAGTCTTAATCATTTCACATGCTAATGAGGATTAAATGTGTTACACAAATTACACAAGTAAATGGAAATAAACAGTATAGAAGCTTTTGAAAAGACAAATATGGAAAAATGCTCACAGACAATAGTAATTAATGCATTGCTTACATACTAATATTACTATGTTTTAATATATAAAATCATTGGAGTTTTACAACAGTACTATAGGCAAGATACATGTTTTTTGCCTATCACTGATAGATCAATTGAGGCTCAGGAAGATGTAGTATGAAGTCACAGGACTATAAAGTAGAGGATTCTAAACTCAAAAAAGCATGTCTACTAGGGCTGTCTGTGCAGAACATTTAATTTCATTTGCATAATGAACCCAAAGTTTGTTTTCATTACAAACCTTTGGGAAAAAGGGCATTTTGACTCATAAACATATTACTAAGTTCTATGACAAATTAGATGATGACAATTAGTCTCCCTCTACATTTCTTCTACGTGAGCCTGAGAAATCAACCCATTAAGGGGATGGGAGGGCAGTGGGGTGCTGGAACCAGCATAAGCAGATTGAATCATAATCAAAGGGTGATAAGCACCTTGTTCAGAAGATGCTTCCAGAATGAAATGGAAACAGTGACTTGCCTGAAAATCAGAAACCATGAGTTCCTCAGGGGTGAGGAGGGGGAGAGTGTTAAGAGAAAACTGGAGGCTGATAGTAGCTACAAAAGTTTTTTTAATGGGCGTTTTTGCTATGACATTAATTCCCAGACACACCCACCGTGCGGGACAGCATCCTGCCCAGGAACAAGGGAGTAAGTGAATGGGGGTGGATGTGGCCTCTGTGATCTCAGAGTACCCAGGGCAGTTCTGATCAAGTGACTCATCACATTGATGAAATCTTTCACGCCCCCCCCCTCCCCATTTTAAAGCGCCGGTTAGCAAAGTTCTCAATTCAGCTGAAGTCTAGCAGAAACACTAGGGAGTCTAGGCAAGTCTAGAAGCCATTCTGTCTCACTAGCAGAGCGTTTAAAATGACACGCACCTCACTGATGAACTAAAATATTATTGATGAGAATGTATTATGTACCTGAAGGGCAGATAAAGATTGAGAGCCACAAAACTAGATAATGTTAGCTAGGATGCTTAGAAAATAATGTTGCTTTACACTGAATGCTTATGAAATAACATGACTCACGGGAGATGATACATTTATTATTTTCCTAAAATTATTCATAATTTTTCAAGAGCATAATAAATGTCATAAATATTTACAAATGGACATGCCAACAATAAATGTATGACGCCCCTACTATAGCAGAAAGCCTCCTAAGCTTAGTATTTTCTGTTTGACAGGGCAGGTATAATAAGGCAGTCGTTGTACCTAAAAATAAGTAATAAATCTGTAGAACTCTGTTCCTTTTTTTTCCCAACTGTATTCTATTTTTTTTTTTTAATGAAAATCACCAAATGCTCTTTTAAAGTAGTGATTTCAAATTTTTGGATCACGTGCTCAGTAAAAAATGTTTTGAGAACTGTCAAAATACACACGTGTTCATTTGTAAAGTACATCCAAGGAGTGCTACACTGGATTTAAAAACTCTTATGGACATGAAACTCTGAAGGATGAGATGATGATGATGAAATAATTTTAAAAGCCTAAAATATTTTAATTAAAAATGGTACAAAATACCTGTGAACTTTATTTTTTAAAGATTTATTTATTTTTATTGGAAAGTCATATATACAGAGAGAAGGTGACAGAGAGAAACAGAAAGATCTTTCCATCTTTGGTTCACTCCACAAGTGACCACAATGGCTGGAGCTGTGCCAATCCGAACCCAGGAACCTGGAGTCTCTTCTGTGTCTCCCATGTGAGTGCAGGGTCCCAAGGCTTTGGGCTGTCCTCAATTGCCTTCCCAGGCCACAGCAGGGAGATGGATGGGAAGTGGAGCAGCGGGGACATGAACTGGTGCCCATATGGGATTCTAGAGAGTGCAAGGTGAGGATTTTAGTCACTATGCTACCTGCACTGGGCATCAGTTTTTAAAATTTTAAAAATCTTACATGAAACTGTGTCAGAGATTTGAGGGTCTGGGAATTTCAGTTTTTGACAGCAGGGTCGAATTTTCTGAAAAGATTTCACAGAGATATAGAGCCAGTGAAAGCAGTGCATTGCTAAACTGTGTCTTCTAAATTATGCTTACATTTTAATTGAAATTCTGCCATAATGTTCTATCTTAAATTTTGAGATTTTTGGCAAGTTTTTAGGAGATGTTATATTGTGAGGGTTTCAAAAGGCTTAAAAATCACCTAAATCACCTACATACAAACCAGGTAATCTTTTTTTTTTTAACCAGGTTAGAAAATCCTGCTTTCATGTCTCTTGTTTTTATAGATAAGATGGTCTGATGACACATTAATATAAATTTTTAGAAAAATCACAATGGTGAACCTTTTCTACAAATCCATTTGCAAAATGTGTGTTCATTTATAAAAGTTTCCTCTCTGAAGCAGTTATTTCCTCATTCACTCTAAAGCACAGCTGGAGCCAGTGTGGTAATACAGCATGCTAAGCCATGACCGCAGTGCTAGGATTCCATATCAGTGCCTGGGTGAATCTGTGCTGCTTCATTTCTGACACAGCTCCCTGCTGATGCTCCTGGGAAAGCAGAAGACAGCCCAAGTACTTGGGCTCCTGCCACCCATGTGGGAGATGTGGACAGAGTTCTAGGCTCCTGGGTCAGGTCTGACTCAGTTCTAACTATCACAGCCATTTGAGGGGTGAACCAGTAGATGGAAGATCTCAGTGTCTCCTTCTCTCTCTTTCTAATTCGGGCTTTTAATTAATAAATAAATAAATAAATCTTAAATTAAAAAAGAAAAAACAGATGGATTGTTTCTTTATACAAAAGTACTTTGTAACAGTAGTCATTTATCATCACAGATGATTAGTAAATCTAAATTCTCTTAAGAAAAGTCTTAACAACTGAGTATTACTACTCTTTAAGATGAAAAGTCTACTATTTAAGATAACAGTCCGTAAATCAAATAGACACATATGAAGTACAGTATGCCACATAACATGATGGGAGTGAACAGATTAACTGATTTTACCATTAACATTCCCTCTATACTGTGGAAATCCATTCTTCCTCAGAAAGGTCTGGTATCTGCCACGACTCAGCTTGGTGGACTCCCTAGACCCCAGGCAGGCATCAGCTTCAATCTCACCATTAAATACTAGTAACACTTAGAGGTAGGCATTGGTGCCGTACTTAAGCCACTCCCTGGGATGGTTACACCCCACTCTGCAAAGTCTGGGTAACGTGTTCCGGCTCTGCTTCCGATTCCAGCTTTCTCCCAACGCATTCTTTGAGCGACAGCAGATGGGGGCTCCAGTCTGTGGGCACTGCTACAAACATGGAAGATCAGGACTGAGACCCATGTGTCTGGTTTCAGCCTGGTGCAGCACCAGATACTGCAGGTATTTGGGGTAGGTACCAGCACACAGGAATATCTATCTCTTTGCCTTGTAAATAAATAAATAAAAAATCCGGTAAACCTTAATTTCCTTACTCTTCAATGTAAAATTATAAATTAAATTTTAAATATTTCCATCAACATCCAAAGGCAATCATCTCAAACACTTCTTTGGAGACTAATGCTTTAAATATACACTCTCAGGGACTTAAAAATTTGCAAGTGCAAGTTGCTGCTGAAAATAAAAATCAGTTTGCTTCCTTCTATCCTCTGTTGTGTTTCAGATTATGCCATTCACATAATGTCAATCATTTTTTTAAAAAGTCATATTCCTTTAGTCTAAGGGTGTATTTAGAGAAAGAATTTTCACTACTTATTTCAAGGAATGCAAATACTCTCTAAGTCAGGCTCCTTGGGCAGTCATTTACATAAATGTTCTGACAAACCATCAGAGAAGCAGCAGGCCTGTTAGCAGCCAAGGCCTGCGCTGCTCCGGCACGCACATCCAGCATGAGCCTCACCTTGGCACCGTGCTTGTGCAGAACCTCCATGACGTCATTGTGGGCTCTCTCTGCTGCAACGTGCAGTGGGGTCATGAAGCTGCCAGAAAGAGAAAAGAAAGGGTCACCTCCACTCTACGTTTATTGTATTTCCTCTTTAACAGTGAACAGCTCCTTCCCCAATTATACTTACTCTTTGTTTTTCTCATTCACATTTGCTCCTTTTCTAAGTAACAGTTCTGTCACTTGCTTTCGTTTGGGATGCAAAGAAGCCACGGCACAATGCTATAGTGGAAACAAAACTAAGTTAATAAGCTTTTCACAAGTAGTTTTCAGAATTAACTAGTACCTGTTGATTATTTAGAACATGATTAGTCCTGAAGTATCAGAACACAATGATAAATTTTACCTTCTGGAGATGAACAATATTCTTTCTAAATAAATTAAGAGTAAAAAACTTAAACCTTTAAATAAAATTATGTTCTTGTTAATGTTAAAATAAATTTTCTTTTCTTTAGCTAACGAATAATTATCCAGTATACTAATAATGAAAGCACACTGACACAGAAATTTCCATCTAAAATACTCAAGGCTTCATTAGGATATAGGTCAATCTTTCGCAGCTTCCCCCTTAGGCATACTGTTACCACTATAGGATAATAAGCTTATATCCTAGGGATTGGTTAAGACTCAGGGAGTACGTTACAGGAAGAAAAGTTCTCAGAAATTTTATATGTTAAAAACAAAATGTACCTTTTATATTCTTCTTTATCTTAATGTTTGGGAGTGGGGAATGTGACACAGTAGTTTAAGCCCTTGCCCCACATCACATTGTCTGACTCAGTCCCTGCTACCCTGTGTATCTGATCTGACTATGTACTATTGCATCTGGGAGGCAGTGGATGATGGCTCATATACATGAGCTCCTGCCAACAGTAGCAGATTCTGATGCAGTTTCTGATTCCTGGCTTTAGCTGGCCCATTCCTGGCTGATGTGGGCACTTGGGGAAGTCGATCAGTGCAAGGAAGATTTCCCTCTTCTCTCTCATTCTACTCTTCAAATAAGTAAATCTTTATAAAATTATATTAATATTTGTATTAAAATGAAAAGCTACTTACTTGCATCATTCTTTTGGGCAATTATATTGAACGTTGATCACTATAAATGAATACTTTAAAAAGGTGATATGTAATTCTTGGCATAAACTGTGCAGCTTGAATCCAACTGAACCCATTTGAAGAACATGGATTGCAGTGCACATACAGTTGTTGTAGTTTTGCTTGTGAATATTTCAATGCTTTCAGCAAAGGTTGAGTAAAATTTGACTAGATATGAGCAACAGCATTGACTGAGAAATATTCAGAAATGGTGATGTAGGTATTTAAGCTCTGAATTAGAGAACTATCATTAACTAGCCTATGCTTTTGTCTTAATGCAGTTAGTGGTATAGAAAATACACAAATATTTCTGAAGGCTCATTAGAAGAAAAACATGAACGATTTTAAGGACGCTATTCATGTCATCACTTTCAGGATGAATACAACCAGCATTTTGAATATAACTGCTCAAAAAGAAGATCTATTTGAAAATATATCTTACAATTTTCTACAGGCAAAAAAGTATAGGAGTTGATCTAATGAATTCAAGAAAAAGAAGATTCTATGAGGAAAACCATATATTGCATACTTTAGAAGCACTGGCTTGTAAATTTGTTATACTAAGTTATGCTAAATTTATATAAAGACAAAGGTAAAAATAATTGCCAAATGAAGATTGACTAAATGTATCTCACTGATGAAAAGTCATCACTTGAACCAAATCTAAAAATCAGGGTAACCAACAAAGTGTAAATCGTTGGCAATTCTCCAGGTAAAGTTAAGGTTTCTGAAATGAAAGACATCCTTTGTGCTTCTACTGCACAGACCCAGAGAGAAGATGAGCAACATCTTACCAATGCTGTTTCATGAGACTGCGGTTGTTTGAAATTAATGATTTCCAAAGCAAGAGTTTTTTTCACTTTGGCTAGATCTGCTTCTCTGGCTGCTTGCAGTAAAGAATGACCTTTAAATTCATCTGTCAATGAAATAATGGTTGACATAAGATTTTAAATACATAAACTATCATGATTATAAATAAGTAGGAAAAACAACCATTTTTACATATTCCTCTACTTTTAACAAAAGAAGCAACACAATAATGACAGGAATGCAGGATAAAGGTGTGGATTACTGTAGAGTCATAAAGATGTATATACAAAGACATTTCCTGAAATAACACTTTAAAACTTGCAACCTCAAATCTATCTAAAGAAAACCAGGAGCCAGCACTGCAACACTGCAGAAGGAAGTTCCAGGCTCTTAGTTTTGGTCTGGACCATGTGGGACTGATGCAGCCACTTCAGGAATGAATCAAAGCATGGAGGATTTCTCTCACCACCGCTCTTCCGCCCCTACCACCCTCCATTATTCTGCTTTTCAAATAAACATACAAAAATTTAAATATATTAAAATAAGACTGTGTAATCTTTCAGGGCTTGGGAAATAGTGAATGCTCTAATATTTTAATATAATCCATTATTATCAATGGCCCATGATCTCAGATATTCTTCCCTGGTTTGTACACTGCTGTACAGTGTGCAATGTCTAGCATACAGTAAGCATTCATAAGTGGTAACTGACAGAACACTGTCATTAGCCTTAAAACAATAGCAGCAGCAGTAGTGGCAGCAGTAACCCACTGTACCCTTAACAAACTAATATTAGGTGTGAGGAAATATAAAAGATACATAGTATGCATACGTAAGATTGCTGTGGAAGTTATGAAGGTAAAAATGTATGATTAGAACTGAAGATTATAAAACAGTGTTCTTGTATAAAAGGAAGAATGACATCTAAGTTAGATAAACTGTAGCCCTAATAAGTGTGGAAAGGAGCTACTGCAATTTCCATCAAGCAATATTGACTTTAGGATGCAGATACCTACAAGTCAGCCTCTCACGGAGCTCAGGAGTTGGAGCCATGTCCACAGCACTCTTGCCATGGCAATTGACTAATGTGGGGTCAGCGCCATGGCTAAGTAACAAAGAACAGACTTCCACACGATTCTTGGAAGCTGCCTCATGTAGTGGAGTAAACTGCCAAAGATCCATAGCGTTAACGCAGGCTCCATGCTGGATCAGGAAAGAAAGTTTTATGTCAGTAATCATTTTGCTGGATCAAATGAAACTCACACAATATTTCATTGTAAATTGCAGTAATCACTTTCTGAATGGAATAAATTTGTTTTTTTAATTTCAGATGTTAAAAATAGCTTAAATTAAGCATTTCAAAAATTTTAAGGCAATGGTAATTTCTAAAATTATTTTATTCTGTTAAAAATCGTATTGATCAAGAAACACAAGATAGGACAAATTCCCTCCACCCCCTTAAAAAATACAAAAGGTACTTGATTAAAAAAATGTGAAAATGGTATTTTGCTTTTTGATGTATTTTCTCTTACCTTTAGCAGCAGTTCTGTGACTTCATAATGTCCATATGAGCATGCATTATGAAGAGGCACAAGTCCACTAAATTAGAAAAAGACAAATTAAAATACTTGAGCTTTGGAAAATTTACAGTCCTATCTATGGAATACCATGAAACAAATCCCTCCAAATTATATTAAACTATCTCTATTTAATTATGAGAATTAGAAATCTAATGTTCATATCATGTATATATTTATGGTTTTTTGTTGTGAATCTTTAAAGCTTAAGACAAAAACATCAATTAGAAGAATATTTAGAAGCAAAGAGGAGATCATGTGCTGATAACTGTATAAGTATCAACTGTTTACAGGAAACAAAATTTAGTCGGTAGTGAATTGAAATTTTCTTGCCACTTTAATTCACTTTCAAGATAATTTCTAGCATAAGATTTAAATATCCAAACTTAAAATTTGCATGTTAAAGTATCCTATTTGTGAGTCAGAACCCCCCTTTTTCCTGGTGATACAGAGATATCATCAGAGATTTTACACGCTTACACTGTTAGGACACCAATCACATAAGGCACAGAACCTGGTTCAGGCAAAGGAGAAGAAGCAGCACTGAGAAGAGCAGATTTAAATGGATGCATTTCCCTTCTTATAAATGTCTCAAGTGCCAGATTCATTTTGATGGTTTTTGATGTGGAGTGTGTCAAGTGAAAGAAATGTACTCGAGGGCATCTCTTCTTTATGCTGCCAATCACAGGAGAGCAAAGTAATCTGTCTCAGCTGACACTAACAAGAAACGTATATGGGATAACAGCCCACTGCTCCTGTGAGACAAGATATGAAACCAGCACAAAGTTTTCTAAAGTTCATCTATTGAGAAAACAAATGATACAACTGCTTTCTGAGCTCCCATCCATGCCCTTCCCATATTTTCCTGTGTAAGGTACCCATAGGTCATACTTAGCTCAGCTACCCTGATGCAGCTACCCATGATTTCATCAGGGAAAATCCTCCCACCAAAACAGCACTGGGACTTCCTAATACTTTATTAATTACAAAAGATAATCCTTTAATACCTGAGAAATATGGTAATTATGCTACTAGATTAAAATAATTTTGAATTTGTTTTTCTGAAATGCTCTTTAGGAACTGAAAGATAATTATTGTTTTGATTCTCAAAAACAAAATTTAACTTCAAACAGCAGAATGGCTATACAATTAAATGACTGGAAATTATAAGTATTCTTAATAAGTGGGTATATAATAATAAAAATAATCTTGCTATTAAACTTGTCTAGTGCTTAAAAATTTAGAAGGTGATGAAAATAGGTGTAATAACTCAAAAATGAGATCACTAAGAGGAAATAAATCTTTACTCCTACCCTTTGTCTTTCGCATGAACATCAGCACCATGCTGAAGAAGTAGTTGAACTATTCGAACTCTGTTGTAGCCAGCTGCTAGATGTAAAGGAGTAGACTGAAAAAGAGAACACACATACATTCCTTTGTCAGGTCAATACATTCTTGCTTTGTCAGTAGAATCTGTAGTCAGATTTAAACAGAAGGAAAATTAAGACAAAATACTGGGTTGAAATGCCAAAACTTCACCCTTTGTTATCTGCATGACAACTTATTCTCCTCAAGACTAAGTTTTGATTTCCGTTGACATTTGCTGCAGTTTGATGATCATTTGTCCCCACCAAAATTCATGTGAAGGCTTGGGCCTCAGTGCAATAGTGCTGAGATGCAGTTCTACGCCATCCTGTGTGAGGCAGTCACTGGGCTCATATCAGATATGGATGCTATGCCTACACTCTGAACTTACTAGCCACACGACTGAGAATTAAATTTATTAATTCCTTGGTGCTGATATTTTGTTATAGTGACATAAAACAGACATTACAGATTTCCCTATTTGTTTTTTTAAGAGCTTCAGTAATCAAGCCCTATTCTAGTCTATCTCCCATACATTATTTCTGAGTATTTTCAAAAAGAAAATCTTCACTGTTCTAAGAAGATATGGCAGGGCACACATTTCCTATAAGTAAAAATACTCTGGAGTAGCCTGTTCATATCCTTTCAAATTCTAACATTTAAACTTCATTCAAATGGATCATAAAACCTTACCTATATAAAAATCTATTTAATAACAAAGTTCAAAAAGCATCCCTAAAAAGAATCTGAAGAAATTTGAGTGGAGGACAGGAAGTGAATTAAGTATGGCTGGCCCATGGACAACATGGATGGGCGTGAGATATGGCACTGGGAGAGGTTCTGACGGAGGAGCTTGAAACTCCTCTGTCGGGACACAGTCGCTACAGGTGAGTGCAAGAACCATGATAGGGAGCAGCCCAGACCAGGGCAGGGAATGGTACCCACTGGCATACATTAGGCACAGTTCAAGGGTGAACAAGGCTGGGCCAGTTCATATCACCCAATGGTGAATCTGAGCTCCAGAATGGACTGTGGATTGGGGCAGGTTGGTTACAATACAACCCAGTTCACATTAGGGCCAGGACTGGGGGCCACCTGGGCTAGGCCAGGCTGTAGCCCCCACTAGTGTGGGCTGAAACTGAAGCCCAGCTTCAGTTTATAGGATGTATGCCCTAAGCTACTCTACAGTCATGTAGCTGGGAGAGGGGTCAGGGAACATTGCTATAAGAACTGTTTGCTGAGCTGAGACATGAAGACAAATAGAAGCCACTGAGGCACAAGGAAAGGTATTTTTCTTTCAAGTAATGTAAAGAACATGTTAAGGCCTAAGGGATGAGGTATACTGGAGAAACTTGAGGAAAAACAACATTCAGCAGCTGAATTTAGTGTATGAGATTAGGGAAGATCCTAAGAGCAAAGGAAAACCACTGAAAGATTTCAAGTAGAAAAGTACTTAAGAAAGGCATTTAGGAAATACCACCTTGGTTATTACACAAAAAATAAAATAGAAGAAGCAGAGCAAATATCATGGCAGGGATATCTTGACCAGAATACTAGGTCTAAGACAGGAGACAAATGACTGTATGCAAGCTGACAGCAGCATTTCCCTAGAGGCAGCTGAGCCATGGCAGTGGATGGTGGAAGGGCAAGTGAAGAACAAGTTGGATGAGACTTTCCAAGTAATCATTCCTGTGTGGGGCTACTCATCATGCAACCTGAATGCCACAGCTGGTAGGCACATGAAGGACTGGTGAAACTCATGGAACACATTTTAGAAAAGGCAGAACACAGGGAGAAAAACACAAACTGAGAACAAAGGATTATTTGAACATGTCTATCCCACTTCAGGCCCAAAGATTTGTCCAATTCTAGAAACCAAATTTACAAAATTAGTTACCAAATGCTGCCTTGTAATGCAAAGTAATTAAAACCAGATAGTCAAAGACAGACCTCAGTGAATGGCTTCCACATAGTACCAGATTTATGCCTCAATTGTCAAATAGTAATACAACAATAAAAGTAATTTTCTAAATACAAGGATAATTAACAGTATAATTGTGGCTTTCAATAAATAAAGCAGACCCATTTGTAACACTCACACATGTTACTACATAATTTGATAGTGGTTGTAAACTAGCAAATGTGAGAATCAAACATCAGTGCACACAGGACAGCAACCAGTTTGTAAATTGAAGATTTATTCTAAAGCAGATGTTTCATTGGGAACATTTTAAAAGACAAGCGTTAAGAGTGGTAAAGTATGGAAAACTGTAAATACAAAACTTTCATCTAAATCTTACTCTGATGTAAGAGAAATATCATTACTAATATTTGCACGTTACAAAATGTTTACAGAAAAAAGGGATTATTTAATGAAGTCCTGTAACTAAAATCTTTTTCTTGGATTTGGTTTATAAGAAGAATAAATTAATTTTGTTTTTTATAACAGTAATAAAGCATCTCTATAAAAATAAAAAGCTAGCAGTAATATTTCTCCATTTTAATTCCAAAGATGAATTCTTCATAAATTCAAACAGTAAAGCAAGGCAAAATATTCCTGAACATTTATATAAAAATTAAAAAGATCCACTTTTGAAAAACCTAGTGAGCATGGTGACTCAACAGGCTGAGCCTCTGCCTTGCAACACCTGCATTCCATATTGGTGATGGTTTTAATACAGCTAGTCTGCTTCCAATCCAGCTCCTGCTAATGGACTGGAAAAGCAATGGAGGATGGCTCAAACTGTGAGCCCCTGCACCCAAGTGGGAGACCCAGAAGAGGCTCCTGGTTCTTTGCTTCAGAGGAGCTCTGCTCTGGCCATTGAGGCCATTGGGGAGTGAATCAGTGGATCTCTCTCTAAATCTGTCCTTCAAATAAAAATTATTATTGTAAAAATGTAGAAACTTAATTTCTACATTCTTTTATATCCACTGGGAAAAAAAAATCAAGATAACTCTTAATATGCCTAGATCCAATATTACATATCCAACCCCATGGAATTTCAACACTTAAACACATAAAAAATACAGTTATATTATTATTATTTGACTTTCATAAAGTATTAAACTTTGGGGCATTCTTCAACAAGATTTTTAGGTAATGCTCAAAAATTCCAAGACTACACATATTGCTTTCTTCCTAAGATTTATTTGAGAGGCAGTGACAGAAGAAGAAAGAAGAAAGAAAATACCTCCTTCTATTTCCTAGTTTACTCCCCATGTAGTCACAACAGCTAGGAGGGCCAGGCTGAAGTCAGGAGCAGGAACTCCATCTGCATCTCCCACATGGGCAGGGGCCCATACACTTGGCCCATCTTTCACTGCCTACTCAGGTACATTAGCAGAGCACAGAATCAGAAGGTAAGCAGTCGTGACTTGACCAAGGATTGATATGGGATGCTGGTGTCACAGCAACAGTTTAACCCATTGTACCATAACACCACCCATGCATATTTTTTCTTGTTTTTTGGATGCTTTTACAATAAAAATCCGAAAATTTTAAAGGCTGGAATCATAGTTATTTGTGGTTTCAATTCTACACTGTGTTTGCTGACAACAGAGAATATATTTTGTTTTGAAGGATTAACATAGTACCTAACACGTAGTAGGATATTTTTAAAAAATGAGTGAGTCATCATCAGACTGATGTATTTTATTAAATGGACAGAGGGCATGGATAACACAACATAGTGAATTTGACTTTAAATCTGTGAGCAAGATTTACTCTTGTCACGTCGTATTAGGCATGTGTGATGTCTGATCATTCTTTGGAAAAAATAAAACCACAGCTCTGAAGTCATTAATGTAAATCATCAGAGCACTGCCTAATCTCTGATGTGTTGTATATTTTCTTTTCTTGAAGATGAGTACTGAGCATGGAAATCCTCAATGCAGCGACTGTGGTGACAAATTGCCCCGATTTGCTGCGGACTTTTCTGGCCTGGTCCCAGACAAACTGGGGTGACTGGTGCATGGTGACCCCAGTCAGACACTGAATGAGTTTCTTGGTTTCTGGAGCTGTCCCTAAGTCAGAAAATTGTGTACATGCATGTGCACAATATTATTTATACTCTGGGCAAGACCTACTGTGCTACCATATGGGGGAAGAATCTTAAGAAGAGATAGTTTGGGGTCGGCATGATAGTGTAGTGATTAAATCCTCGCCTTGCACGTACCGGGATCCCATACAGGCACCGGTTCTCATCCTGGCAGCTCCACTTCCCATCCACCTCCTTACTTGTGGCCTGGGAAAGTAGCTGAGGATGGCCCAAATCCTTGGGACTTTGCATCTGCATGGGAGATCCAGAAGAGATCCTGGCTCCTGGCTTCAGATTGGCTCAGCTCCAGTCATTGCGGGAGCTTGGGGAGTGAAACATTAGATGGAAGATTTTCCTCTCTGTCTTTCCTCCTCTCTGTACATCCTCCTTTCCAATAAAAATAAATAAATCTTTAAAAAAATAAAGAGATGGCTCAAAAATTACTAAAACCTGTCTATTTTTCCATAGAACAATTCTTCATTTTTGTCCAAAAGACTAAGGCATCAATTTGTAGGTTACACACAAGCTTAATAGTACAATACATATTATTCAAACACATCTTCTATATATAACAGTGACATAGGACAAAGCTTTATGATCTTTTTCAGTACTTGATCATATTTGCTTTATTAAAAATGGGCCTAAAAATATAAAACACTGAAGTACTCATCTCATAGATTCAATAATTATCATTTATTTTAACTTTGTTACACTGGCTTCAGCTATCTCATTTGTCTTTTTTCCTTCTGAAGTGAAAAAGACACCTGTACTTATTTCCATAGAAGCCTCTATAATATATAGCTGTTTTCTTTCTAAACTCTAACATGTTAAATACTACATTCAATAAAGGAACAGGAAAACCATGTTATTATCTAATGCTCATGTCAATATTCAGATTTCCTGATTATCTCAAAAACAGTGGCATTTTAAAAGCTGTTGTGCTAGAATCTGGGAAAATGTATTTGGCTAGTGTGACTAACAAATACCTCTTTAATCTTCACTCCCT